TTACCCAAAGATGTGAAGGCAGTGTTTAGAGAAGTGTAGTCTCAAAGCCCTGATGTGTCCCTTTGACCCTGACACAAGTACCTGCCTACTTTTAAACTTACAGGTGACCAGTCTAAACCTTATTGACTTCAAAAGGCCTACTCCACAGATTCAGGATATGCACCTGTTTGAAAACAGATAATCTATCACCACAGAGGCAGGAGTTAAAGATTGACAGGGTAAGTTAGTCTGGGATAACTTTTTTCTTTTCCCAAAGGAAAATCTGCAGTATCTAGATCTGAAGGTTACTAATGTAGTATGTAGATTTACCTAAATGTTTCTCTGTGTGCAGACTTTTGCAAAAAATTAACATTATCTATTTTTCTTTCCACTTACTGTAGTGTGCTAGTGAATCTACTATGGGATTTCATTCTGTGGAATTTGGGATCTTACTGCTTAACCAGTAAAGTCTGAGAACTGAAATCTGCATTTGCTGGAAATATCAGGAATTGGGATGTGGAAATCAGGACATGTGGAATTCCAAACGCCAGTAATAAATGTCAGTTCAAGTTGTCTTAATTTTTTTCCAAATATTTATTGGTATGGCTTGTCTGATCACATATATCACATTTATTTCATTGGTAACAACTGTTCTTTGTCATGAAATGTATATGAAATCTAAGCTTATCCTCTATATTGTTGTTAGTACTTTTTTAAAAAAAAGAATTATTAAGCACTGAAAAATCCAAAATAAAAAAGAGGACTTTTTAAACGAGAAAAAAGCATGACAAGAATGTACAAGCATTCTGAGAACTGACTGGCATTACATAATGAATAGCATGAGAATAAATTACAGCAAACCAAAATCTTATTAAAGGATATTGAAAAGCATAAAATCCCCCTATTAAAAAGCAAGCAATAGGACAAGTGCAAGAGTTAACCAAGTATCTGATTCAGTTATACATGCTGTGAATCAAGACTGAATGTGTAGAGATGTGTTAGTGTGATTTTAATATTATAACTATTTTCATTCATTAAGAGATTACAGATACAAAGAGATAATCTCTTATTTTACAAGAGAATGCTTTTTGCTGTACTATTAAGGTTACAGACCTAAATAAGTTTTACATGGACTATGAAGCATGCTTTGTGCCTTCCTGGCGACAGCAGGTTAAATCTCAAGATAACCACTTCAGACTGGCTGCATACTTCAGTATTTTTCCCCCTTCACAGTTGTTAAAACTTTATAGAGCCTCAAAACATATCCAGATGGACAGTAACTGTGACTGCCACTTACGAAACCAGTATAATTTAGCACAATACACAAAGTAGGGTAAGTGTGGAAGGAAAACAAGTTCTGAATAGAGGACCTCCTTGGAATATTGGATCAGCCATCAGACACACCAATTCTGTTTAGACAGGCCTGTTATACACACCCAAATGTTCTGCAAAACAAAGCACACCCCCAACCTTTCACCACTGCAACTCCTAAACACTTCTGCCCAAGGGTGGTCTTCACCCTGCTTGAGGCAGTATTTGTGCCTACATCTTTATTCACAAAATGAAGCATTGGTTTCCATAGTTTTTTGGCAAAGCTGAGACACATAAAGCATGTTCTTCCTCTGAGAGGAATATCGTATCTGGGCAGTTTTATTTGGGTCTGACCTTTTCAAATATGCAATAGCAAAATATGAACAAATAGATCACTGTACCATTGCGCTGCCATTCTGTCTCCAGTGGATTCCCCTGCACACCTCCTTCAGCCTGCTTGTGCGAGCCGGGATTATCTTAAATGACATAAGCGTAGCAGAGAATTTGTCCAAGATAAAACTGTTGTTATTTGAAATTATAGTCTTTGTTCACTTGTTGGATGATACCTGCTAAGCACACCAAACAGCAATATCTAGTGGCTTCTATGGATTTTTTTGTGTGCTGAGCACAAAAATAATACATACTTTTTTGCATACGGTATCCATATCTCACAACAGGATGATTAGGTAATGGAACCATGAAATAAGAAAAAAAAAAACAAACCCTGGCAGATTTACAGCAACTAAATCTATGGCTTCATTCCTCACTCCAGCTAGAATGGATGCTTACTTCAATTGAACTTAATTCTGACACCTATTTCTAGTTATGCGTATGTTGGCAGAGACACATCTGAGTGCAGCAGGCATGCTCATATACTTCCTTATTTGTCACATTTTGCAAATTTCCAACTTATAAGTTAACAATTAAAAAAATTGTATGGGAAACTGATTTTAATTCATGGTATTTCATCCCCTTTGCTGCCTTTCTCCCTGTCCTTTCAATTCATTGTAGTCTCATTATGTGTTAAAACTCTGGTGCAACTGTTCAAGTTGCATACCTGCTGCTGGTGGAGAGTGTGTTTTTAAATATATCATACAAAAGGACAGTATCTCTTAACACATGGTAGTAGTGCTGTGTTTTAGTTTGCTGTTTTGCAGAAAAGATTGCTTGCCATATGTCTTAACAGAGCCTGCTCTTCTTTTCCAAGAAATTGGCTATGGGAGTTAAGATTATTTATTTTTTGGGGGTCTTTTTGTATTGCAATTAGATATTGGCACATGAAGTATTTAATTAAACTGTGAATACTGCTGTTTATTTCTAAGTTAAACAAATGCTGTATCATTCAACTATCTCCAACTAATAACCTTAATTAAAAGTAAAAAGAGTTAGGTAAAACCTAAATAATCTTGGAGTCTTTTAACCAGCTGTAATATATTCATACAACACTATTCTACTGAATAAGGAAGCTATCATTAAGGCTTTTGTCAAAGCAAAAAAAAACAAAAAAAAAAAAGTTCTGATATTTTTGTTTGGGTTTTCTTCATGCTGCAAGCAAAGCTCCGGCCTTTAGCATTTCAGCTCAACTCCTTTTTGTACCAGAGGCGACTGAGCCACTTGAACAGTCAGTTGCATGTAAATGTGCTGAACAAGAACCAGATCATAAACAAAAGCACACTGGGGCTCCAATAAGCGAAGCACAAGAGCAGAATATTAACCACGAATCCTGCCTAGGTAAAAATTCCTTTTGCTTGGTCATGGCATATAACAAGGTTTCATGCCTCTCTTTTTGGCATGTTTGGTGCCACAGACTCCCCAGGAACCTTATTTCATTCAGACGTCTGTTTCTTAATGAGCTGATCTTCAGAGGAACATCTATTTACTGATTCATTGCTGGGTTACACCTTTAGCACATGATTTTCTTTCACAATGGTTCAGGAAATAGAAAACTCAATGTGTCAGGCAACTCAAACCACAAGCAATTGCAAGAACAGTCATGCAGCCAACACTGGGAATATGGGATTCCCTCATTTAGGTGCAGAAATTATTTTCAAATGGAATAATCCCTTCAAGTGGCTTAAGCACTAATTAGGGACTCTGGGGTACATTAGAAAATATAGGGTACATTAGAAAATATACTGTATCATTAAATAATACTGTTTTAAACATCAGTATGTATAAAAAGCAATGAAAGTGATGTAAACATGACTGTGTCTTCTTCACGCCTTGTGGCTGTATCGACTTCACACCTTTTAATTTTTCAGGCTTGCACCTTTGAATAGGAGGAGACCACAATGTGTATGCTAATTGTTAAAATACATTTCCTTCACCTATTCATTCTGTCCAAACACTTGCAGTTGTGGAAACGTTCAAAATATTCCTTTAGTGAACTATGGCTGTATGAGAAAGACTGGGAAAGGAGAAAAAGAAGAGACTTGGTGACTTGACTCCTTCCAATGTTTATGTCTTCTAATTTTTTAAGGTCTTGATTTTAAGTTTGACCATTTTCGTATCCAGAATGTCCCCCTGAAGGCCAGCTACCTCTAAATTTACCATGTTGACAAAATAACCAAAATATTGCTGTGTTAGCTAGACATCAACAATTAATAAATCAAATTTGATTTCCCACGACATTTTTGCACTAAATTTGCTTCTTGAAGCAAAAAGTAACACAGTTGAAGAAAGGTTGGAATTACTGAGCTAGCTATGTGTGAAAGGTATGCATGAGAGTGTTAACTCTTGGATATAGCTATTCACTATTGACCATCATTATTTCATCATGTTAGCAGAAAACAGGATGCATTTCATTTGGGAATTAGTACACTTAGCTGGAGGGAATGCCTTCCTAAATATCATTCAGTCATTAGTGAACTTGAGGAGCTAGGTTACAGTATAAAGCTGTATTCTTGCGTCAGATAGATCTGTTTAAATCTAGGTGGTCTCTACTGATTTCATTGAGATGGACTGAATTTAATTCAGAGTAATTGTAATTGGAAATGGTCTATGTAATGAACAGATTCTACTATGTGTTGCACCGTTAAAAAGTAATGCAAGCAAAGCTTGTCTTGACACAGAATATAGCCACAGTCTACTGAAAATAACACATTTGAATATGCAAATACAGTTCTCAAACAAGATTCTGAAGTAGTAAAACACAAATCTCAAGTCATAATTTGTGTAATCTTTCCAGATGAAGAAGAAGGATTTAGGATTAATGAAAAGATGAGTTAATTTTCTCTCCATCATCAGACTACAAAAATAAAAAAATAGAAAGAAAGGAAAGAGATGCTTTCCTGAACCACAGCTACTCAGAAACCTCTCTGTCCTCTCTCCTCCCAGCCTTTTCTTTTCAGGCCCATTTGGACAAACATCAGTCAGTCTTGTTACTTTAGTCTTTTTTGCTCATGTTCTGTGGGTTTCCAGTTTATTTCTGCATAACCTGAAAAATTCATATTTGCATCACAAGCTGACCAAAATGTTCTTTAATTATTTCCCAGGAGCTTTGCTTCATTCTCTGAGTGGGCACCACTGCATTGCTACACTGAAGGGCTTGTCAACGCTCCCATTACAGATGTCTAATTTTGCAGGATACTACAAACCTGCTGACTTAATTGTGTAGAGCTGCAATTCATTTTACAAGATTTCAGGAAGGATGCCAGGTATTTAACATGCTTACGTTGAAATAACTTGGCTTTTTTTTTTCTTTTTTTTTGGGGGGGTGGGGGGTGGGGGGAAGGTCTCAAACATGATGGAAAATAAAAAGCAAATCAGAGCAGAGTTAAAACTTGCCAGGTTACTTCTTGTCAAGGTAGCCCCTCATTCCCCTCTATATGCTGCCTTTCTCAGGTATCAGTTTTTAGACTTGAGTGTCTGTCACTCCTAATGCCTTCCAGGGGAACTTACTACCCAGCTATTCCTTGGTAATGTCTTTGTTTCTCTCACTTTTAATCCTTCTCTGACTTTGAGGACTATAATCTCAAAATTAGAGATGATCAATTTTTAAATGATTTTTTAGATCACGGAAGTTTTACAACCAACATATTTAGGGGCACCCACTGCTTCAGCTGGGTACTGTACACCACCCATGTGTGGCCCACATGTGGCTTCTGTCACTATGAGTAGGTACTTTCAATACTAAATGGATATCAGTATAATTAGCCCTAGGATGTCTTCTACCAGTGACTGGAGAATGCACACATTCATTTATTGTAAGAAATGCTATTGTCACTGCCAGGAGTTGTCCCCACCTCCTAGAGAAAGTAAGAAAGGTATTTTCATATTTGTGATGCCTTCAGAAGTTTTCAGAGCATTTGTATTAGGTTCAGATAAAACTCTGCCTTTCTGAGTATTAATGTATGAAAAATCTTTGAACTAGTTGAAAATTGTCAATAATATCTTCTGCATTTGTTCAGTCCAAAGGGATTTAAAAAATTCAGAGCAGAGCAGCTGAGGGTGAGAGAAGTTTCACCCCTTATCGGTCATCCAAATTTGCCAAGACAGTTTTATGAAAGCAGTGAAGCAAATGCAGAAACTAAAACCATGGACTGCTTGATAATGCTCTAAGCCAAAAACAAAACAGAAAAAAGAGCAGGTGTTGCTACTATAGCTTACATCATATGTAACTTAAATGAAAGGGAACAGGATCAATACAGAGTATGTGGGCGAGGCAGGCAGACACATGGTGTTGGAGATACAAGGTCAAACATGACACTCTTTCTTCCAAATTGAAATTCAGGGAATTGTCAACAAGTCCCCATCCACATGGAATAAGTGAAAATGGGCTTGCAAGGAGCCTGATGATAATCCTAGGACAAATGCTGCTCTCCTTCAGCCTGGCATCAATTCAGAAATCTGGCTGCATGGGGACTGCTTTGCATTGTTGTTCAACAGAGCTGGAGAAGAGTTTTGCCCTGTATCATAACACATTTATCCCCAATGCTAGCACATGCATCTGTTTTTGTATTCAAGTTTTTTTTTATGCAGTTCAATAGTTTCTTGCTAGTGGCCTCAGGGATATTTAAATAAGATGAACCCTTTTACCTACAGGACCATAAAAAGAGAAGAGCAAACAAAAGGCTATGAGGTGTTATGGCAGAGGTGATGAGGTGCCTTTATGGGACCTCTGCAAAGTGCTTGACACCCTGAGTACAACAGGCAGAATTCATCTTCCACTAGTGTCTCCAGGAAGGTAGAAAAAATTAAGCTTTTCCCAAACATCACTCCTTTGCGCACGTGTGCACAGGAAATCTTGAGGCACCGTCTGCGGCATGTTAAATGATCTGTGCTCAGCCAGTGTTCCAAATTCCCAGCAGAACATGCTTGGAAATCCACTGCTGGCAAAGCTGAGGCTGTCAGGGATTTAAGCCATTACACTTAGTCATATTTATATTCTATTAATGGTAGAACACTCTTAATAAAAACAAGCTCTGCCACTAATTTTGGTTACAGCCTATGTGATATAATGACATCGACTACTATGCACTGCATATGGAAATTTCTCACCAGTGCGAGGGCATGGACAAATTCTTCACAGCCACCTTTTATAACTGATGGATGTATTAGCCTCTTTTCTTGCCAACAAGATCTTAGGAACTTGGCTTGAGATTCATGAAATTTGGCTTTGCCAAATCATTTAGCATTGAAATCTCAGTAAGCAGCAATGTGCTGATTTGCTGTTTAATCATTATCCAGACTACCCCACCTGGTTGTTACATGCAGCTCACACCCAGCAGCACCCCATATGAAAAAAGAACCAGCAAAAAAGGACTGTCAAGATGAGCTAGGCAAACATGATTCTGCCTGTATTTCAAATTTTATAATTAGTCAGAATCTTTTCTTCCACACTAAAGCATATTTTGGTATTTCCTCAGGTCAGATGGAGAATACCGAGTTTGCTCTTTCCAAATCAGTAATCTGAAAAAAAAAAAAAAAAATGAAGAATTAATAAATACTTCAGAAGATAAATTTTATATAGATATGTAAGCTGCAATTTCTATGTGGATTTTTAAGTTAGAAGTCTGATTGAAGGAAGATTTGTTAGACCCTCCCTCCTGGTTTAGCAAGAGGAGTATTTTGTAAAGTTTAGATCTGCAATTCAAAAAGCAACATTGCAGCCTCCTCCCTCCCCCACCCCTCCAGCTTCAGAGTCCACAACTGGAGATATTCTTCCACTCTAAGGCTGCAATATTAAAAATAAGTGTGCATATGCCTGGCCAGGAGATGTGCCTAGCTCCTAACAAGAGCAGCCCCAGAGCTTTCCCTGAGAAAAGATCTCTGAAGAGTTTCACCCAGCAAACCATTTTGGGAAGTATGCACATTTTCCATAGATCAGCTCAGAGTCATAAAAGAAGGAATGCTGTTTGCTAGCTGAAGCATTAACTATTACCAAGAAAATGATTCAGAGGGTGCAATGTAGAGAGAGGTTTAACATGGCACTTGAATGCCTAAGGATGACATGGGAACCATGGGTCAGTTGGCAATAAATACAATGTACTAGTACTATGTACTATCCCAGATTTCCCAGATTGCTGTCACAAAGTTGCGTTTGCTCAGGGCTTTGTTTCAGAGATACCAAAATATGAGCAGGGTCTCTCCAAACGTTTTTACATAGATGAAGCATTGCTGTATCAGCCCTAAGTGTTCACCTCTCATCTTCTGCCTGTGATCTGTGGGCAGAGGTTTTTTGACCTCATCTGACAGTTTCTAACCTGGGAAAGGAGTAGTTTGATACTATCACAAAACAAATAATGAATTATAATAAACATGGGCATTAGTTTGTTTGTTATAGATGGAGGCAAGATGTAAATGGGAGCATTTCACTCAGACTTATTTTGGAATTCCAAAGACTTAATCAGTTACTGGGAAAAATCACATCATCCGAGGTCAGAGTTTCTTTTAGTGTAATAATTTCAAGTTATAAATTAAATATTTTAAAATTAGAAATTAAATTATAATTTTTTTTTTAAAAAAAGCCCATTAGATTTTTAAATGGATATTCGTAGTAACAGGACAGTTAGTAACAGTGTAAGGTGGAAAGTATGGCTAAAACTCTATTACAGCTTTTTTCACTGCTCTTCTGTGAATACTGGTTATGGTACTGTAGTTAAAAATAAACTTCTACTGTGAGCAGGGCTTTCACCTCTTCTGAATTATGGTCCCAATCCTCTTGGATGTTCAACAAGGATAACTTTACACTAGCCCCCACAACATGTTGTATACTATTTTCCCAACCATTTATAAAATCCTTCCATAATTTATGATAAAAATGTATTTATATGTTTTCTCTGAAGTGTGAGAGGAAAAGAATTACAATCACTAGCATGAAATGCTTGTTGAATAAATAGTAGGTAACTGTGAAAAATAGTGGCTAAAGTTCTGCTGGGAGAGGGGCTTGGCTAACGTGTAGAAATTATTGCCAGGTTTTCAAGGGGTTTCCAACCGTACAGAACTGTAATGAGTAGCCCTCTTCTGTGTTTGCTGATTTGCTTTGTAAGAATCTGTTAATATTAATTAAACAGAATAAAATAAATACAAAAATAAAAAAAAAAAGAGTAAAATAAAAGGCAATGCAAAATACATTAAGATGGAAACATTTAAAAAGAACAAGTGTCTGTTAGCACTTTTGCCTGGCAGTATAGGTGTTGAGGGTGCCAACCTAATGTAAAAAATGTACTTACAGGCATAGCGTATCAGCATTGGACCTACAGGCGTTATCCAAGGTGGTGTTATAGTTACAGTAGGTCTGTTACTTAAATCAGGTTAGTTGCACTATCTTGAATAGGACCTGAGTCTCCATCACTGCTGCAAGGCCTGTACATGAAATGAAATACAAAATATGACCAGAATGTCTGTCGGATAGACACTACCTCAGCGCTTCACCAAACTGAACATTCATGACTCCAACACTGAGACACAGACAAAAGCACCACGGAAAAATGTTGTACTTTTTCCTTAAAGTGATCACAAACACATCTAAGAGCAGAATATAACAAGCATTTGTATTATGGTGTTTGAAACTCTGTATTGTATTTCCCAGAGATAATGCAACAGTTAACTTTCTGCTTTAGTTATAATGTTTTTCCTCAGCATCAGTTGCTACTAAATAAGTCCCTATCATTTTTCAAGGGCATAACTTGCAACAAGACAGCAATAACAATTACATATTGTTTTCAAATAAGATGCCATTTTCCCTTCTGGCAGGCAGCAATGGGGTTTTAATGTGTAACATTTGTTTAATAAAACTCACAGATGCTTCCTTGACAATTGCAAAGGAAGAAAAGAGAAGAAAACAAACCCAAAGACAAGGCAGAAAATATAAAGAGCAAATGAAAGATTCAGCTTCCATCACAACTATTCATCTTGTGTCTGAGGCTGATTATGTACATTTTGACTGGATCAGATATCTCTGGTGAACCTGAGCATAGGAGGGAGGTGCTGTGATTTGAGGCCCTTCTTTGCTGAAGCATTGCCTCGATTTCCTACAAACGAAGAAATGCTGTGTGCTACCAGGAGGCCCCACCTTCATGAAGGTCACATCATTTTGGCTTTTGTATTCTTACGAGGCCATTCAGCTAAGCAGGACAGATTTTTCTGCTAATTACACATGGCTGCTATAGCTCCAAGTCTGCCTACACTTCTTAGTTAATAGTGTGTGTGAATTGCAGCAGACAACATTTCTTCCTTTGGAGCAAGAAATAACATATATAACCTTTCACTGATTTCACTGACTCTTTGTATGATAAACTGAAAAAAAAAAATCATTCTGATCTTGAAAACAAAACAAACAAAAGGAAACCCCACTTCTTTGCAATTAAAATCCTTTAATATAAGGATAATAGACACACCGGATAAAGAGAAAGGGAGCACACATACATTGCAGAAAGCAGAACCACCTTCCAGCTGAGAGTCCTGAGCCCTTTCAAATACAAAAGGCCAATCTCTATTGCTATCTCTACAACTATAAAAGGATGTGGGGCTGAGACAGGAACCTCCCTCAGGTCACCCAGCCAGCTGCAGAGCTCTAGTGAGATCTTGGGTCTCCCACCTTGTGTAGCCCCACCAGCTGCTGGCTAACTAAATGCCCACTCTGAATTGCAATGGGAAATATTAGAAGAGAATTACCATGAAAGTGGGGCCAGTCAAGTAAAAGCAAAAATCATAGGGAATAAGCTTTCCAAAATGTAAAAATAATGAATATAGATATAACTATAGTAGACAAATAAATATGGCACAAATCTCATTCCAGTATATGAAGTGCACTGTGAAGTGGCACTAGTCTAACCTGAACGAATGGAAAAGCCAACATCTACAGAAGAACCAGGACAGTAGTTATGGCCATTGCTTGCTTTTTTCATGTCTATTTTTTGAGCCCTCCAGCATATCTGGTGAGTGCCAATAGGTACTTTTTTCTGTGAACTGACCCAAACCTCAAGCCCTCAAGAGTCCATCAGCTGTGCTTCATGGCTAATGCCAGAGAGCAAGAGATAGGCAACTGTGAGTGCCTCAGTCTAAGTGGTTGGATAAAATTCAGAGTCTCCACATATTCTGCATTAGAAAGAAAAATTGTTATCATCATGGTGTATCTTTGAAGCAATCCTGCTTACCTACAAAGGTCCTGTTTCCCAGGTCCAGGAGGAGCCAAGCTGCAGGAGATGGTTTCATTTGCACAGCTCTGGGTCAGCTTCAGCCAGGACTCAGCCCTCCAGCCCTCAGCTTTCCACACTTCATTTGTCTCCAGTTCGGACTATTTCCTCACTCTCAGCTTCTCTGCTCTTCTTTTTTTGATGCAGACACAAAATCCTCCAGAGAACAGCTAAATGGGTCATAACTAGTACATGTCCGTGCCTTTGGTTTGGATGGTAAAATCTCTCTGTACATGGAGTGAGGTGTCTGAGTGTTATATGAAGCAGGTTCAGTGAATTTTCCCTCATGTGATCCCAATGTCTTTAATCTGGGTGACCATCTATGCAATCCAGTATTTACTAATCATAGCAGGTCCAAGAAATACTGCAGTGAAAATACTGCTTCCTAAACATAGGTACTCTGCAAAAATTTGCAAATTCAATTTGCATTATAATGGGATAAGAGCAGATCATAATTTTTAATTAAAAACTGCATCCCCTTGTAACGTCTGCAGCTCTTTCACATGGCTGTCATCCAGAAATAAGGCAACGTGAGCTAATCTCCACAGAGAACGGGACATCACATTCCAACACTGGTACACAGAAAGGGTTTTTTTTCCAGTTGTCACATAAACGTTTCACTGGCACAAAAAGTAATTGGCAGGCATTGTTTAGTAATGGATGGCAGACTGGAGATGGGAGTAGTTCCCACTTGACAGAGCAGCCATGTGCTCAAAAATTCCTCTAGAAAAGGGATTCCCTGGACAGCTACAGATCAGGAGATCCTTCCCCATTATCCATCAGAAACGATGAACAAACTCCCTGAGAAGAAAGCAAAATAAAAGATAACAAAGGAATGCATCCAGTTCTTATTCTGTAGCAAGTTCAGTTGTATTTTTCTCTTCATCCAGCAAGTGAGGGAAATGCTTTTTTTCTGGGTCTCATTTCCTACCTGTATGTATTACAGCTGGATACTAGGGATAATCATAAATGCTAAAGGAGATTTCTTTTTTCAAAAGCAGAAATATCCAGTAATAACCACAGTGTAACTCATAATAATGTTGGGAAAAAATCATGTGCTTATAAATCTGAAGAATTTTTAAGGGATTATGTCCGGATGATGGGACAGAAAAATATCAACCAGAGTCACTGGTGTCCTCTGATGGCTTGCTGTTCAAGTAGCCTGTAAAACTCCCAGTAGTTTAAATGGAAGCAGGATTTCAATCTATGCAGATCATACCTACCTGAGAAATAAGCATGGGTTTTAATCCAGGACCAGTATAAATTCAGTGTATCCTCCCACATACAGTGCACTTGCTACATTGCAAATGTCTGAGCAAAAGCTGGTGCCTGGCTTTCTGTAGCCATGCACAGGCCTTGCACTGTTACACCCAGTCCATGCTGCTGCCTCAGGCATTTCTTTCCTGAGGCTTTGCCTGATGTTGTTTTAATTCTTCACACCCTGGGACCCCATCACTCACTTTCCTTGGGAGATCATTCCAGAGTTTAGAGATGTTACTATGCCTTTTTTTACCCTTGAATTTCAGCCTGAAATTTACTTTCCTTAATTTAATTTTGTTCTCTACAAATCTTTTTTTTCTCTATGGATATTTTTTTATTCCAGATAAAGTCAAACTATTAGCAGCTAGAAATCAGTCTTATTCCTTAGCTTGAAAGACCTAATCTTGAGCAGGCATAGGTAATTATGGATTGTACTTAGGGGTCCGCTAAAACTTTCTGCTCGATTAACTATCCCTGCAGGGATGATAATTGCCGTTACACATGAAAGTATCAAGCGCAGAGTGGAGGCACTGCCTCTCCAGCAGTGTGCAGGGCAGCACTGATGGACTCCAAGAACAGCTCTGTGTAGTCCCTCGGGCTGAGAGAGAATAAGGAACTGCATCCCAGCTCTTTAAAACACTGGAGACCAAAACAGACCCATGAATAGACTGCTGGAGGGACCATGGTTACATGATCTTCTCCCCAGTCAACTGTACCTCACTACACAAATAGGGAACTGTGACTATTCGAAATTAAGTTCATAAGTGGAAGGAATGGGTTATGTTCTGATTTCACATTAGTTTAAATCAGGAGCTTCTCTAATAATCCTGTGGAATCGGGTGGGTCTGCACGCCAGCTGAAGTAAAAGACAGCTCAGGCTGAGGTGATGTGTGCCACCAGGTTTGCTTTTACTTATTTATTTATATTTCCACCAGTGATGCTTAAATATCAATCCCAACTGGTACTAACAGAAGATTCCAGGAGCCTTTCCCAGCTGTTTTGGGCTGCAACCCCCAAAGCTTGCCTCTCATAATTCAGTTTTAGCTTTAGGCACTTTAAAGTTAATAGACTCATTTGAGCAAAGGGCTTATTTGAAATCCATGTTGGAAAGAAGTGAGCGTAAGTACGCTAGTGCCAAGCTATAAACACGTTTATACAGTGCAGTAAATCAATACTGCTGCCTTCCCTTGGAGAGACTGGGCCAATTAAGCCGAATGTACGTGACACGATGATGGAACCTGTTCAGTTTATTATGGGACCAGTAGCAAAGACTGCAACATAATACCCTGCTGCGCCTCATTTTGACGTTCCCTAGCCTGGCCAAATTTTAGACCATTTGTTTTCAGCTTGTCATGCATTGACTACTGGAAAAGAACAGAAATATATTTTTTTCTTAATTATCTGAAAAAAATGGTGGGAGTCAAAGAAAGGATTCAAGGAAGGGGATAATTTATGTTTTCACTGTCCCAAAAACTTTGTGAGGTTTTTTTGTTGGAAGCATCATTCAAATACAGGCTGGTCTATGAACACTGCAGCTTTTTCCTGTAGTCACCTGCTTAAATTTAAGCCTGTTAGTAGACATGTCTATTGAAATGTTTGTGAGTTGGCTGTCTTCCTCTGGACTGAGGTGAAAGTTATTAACTTTATAAACCCGAATTGATTTTGATGAACGTGGAGCGCATGGAAAGTAGGGAGAACATCAGTGAGAAAAATGCATTATGAAAATGGAAAGACATTAAAAGCATTGTGTGGGTGCAGCATGAGGACGAGCAAATGGGAGGAGGCAGGAAAGGTGATGCCTATCTACATCTTCCACTTGTACAGAGTCTACAAATGTAGTTGGACTCTGTAATGCAATAATGATGCTACACTCACTCTCATAAATTCCTACATAAGAAGAGGTCATATAATCTGACCAGTAACTTTTTGCAAACACAGAAATGTTCAGTTTTTTGCTATTGGAGCATTTCATTTAACTGCCTTAATAATAGGGCTTCCCCTCAACCTCTTTTAAGTGTTACAGAAAATCTAAAACAAGGTTATGAAAAAAGTACACAATGTTACAGAGAGCTGGTTAGCTCTTGGTGCATTAAGTCCCTGAAAATAATTTATATGTTGTGTTTATGTAGAACCTGTCATTGAGTAGTAAATGTAAAGTTGCCATGGCCTGAATAGGTACTCAAATCATAGAAAGCTTACTGTATTTGGAAGCTGACAGCTGGCAAAGTTGTCTTATAAAAACTCTCTAAATTGCATTAAAATGTGCACAAGAAGAAAATTTTTAAATGAGAGAAAAGAGGAAGAAAAAAAACCCGTGTCCCATTTAAAAGGGGAGAATTCAGACCTTGAAAGAACTAAAAAAGGGGGATTTGAAACATTATTTTAAAGGTTTTCCTTTTCAGATCCAAAAAATTCAAGCACGCTTGTTGCCACCCTAGCCCCTAATGCAAGATGGTCCTGTGTATATCTTACCTGTGCAACTCTGCCAATACCTATTTAAAGCAGGAGAAGGAGATTTCCAAACAAAGTTAAGTGCCAAAAGGCAACTGCCAGGTCACCAGCAGTGCCTGACCAGGTCCCAGCCCATGGCACTAATTATCCATCTGCCTCACCAGGCACCTGAATAGGTTCTTCATCCTGTGGCTGGGCATAGGAAAAGGCTGCCTTGCCTCTTCTCACACATCTGATTCTGTGAGTAGGGTTTTTTAGAATTGTTTTTAAATTTTGTACTAGCTATTTTTCTGTTCATACCTTTACTCAGCTCGTTACTTGTTTCACTGCTCATTTACCCACTGGCTCAAAAATTGCTGAAGTTGAGACAGGCAGTAAAGAAGTGTACATTTGTGAAACTAAACTCAGTCACCTCATGAGGTTAGCAACAAATTGTACCATTGTAAAACAGATACATTTACCCTTAAATCTTGGCTTTTGGAAAGCAAGCAGAGAAACATGTAAGCACAAAGTGACTAACGTAAAACTGAGAATCCACAAATATATTGGTAGGGCAATATGCTCACGGTGCTGTCCCTGTGGGGCACAGCCCATACCCCTGAAGATGCATTCATAAACAGCTCATTATTTGGCAGTCCTTTGCAGAGGAGATGCTGTCACCTGAAGAAATAAAGGAGATATCTTAGCATGGGCCATGGAAACTGTTCTTTCTACAAAGGCTAACTGATATCAGTGTCGGGGGAGGATTGGGACAAGGAGGAGGAGAAGCACACAGGCTCAGAGGCAGGAAGAGCAGCGGCCTCTGATTGCAACTTACCCCTCATAGCCCTGGCCATATGCTGCTGCCCACCTTAATCCATTTACTTCATCAGTGAGGCAAGAGTGTATTTTTCCCCCTTCATGGCTTCTGTACAGCATGAATTAGTGAGCTGGCTATACACTAGTAAAATATATCTGAGCTCCCATCCTCTCTCCACCAAAACTGTCATTATCTGCAGAGCAAAAAGAGCGGAGAGTGAAAGATAAAAATCTCGTGTGTGAGCTGTTGATAAGTGATTCTGTCTGGCTGCTTCTGTGGGTTATGTCAGCCTAGCTACTCCCCTCAACATGGTACTTACTGTGTAATACATTATCTTTCACAGCTAGTACTCTTAGTTTCTTAATATATTGTCTGCTTCTTCCAGTACATTAGGCCTATCTGCATTTACAGCTGGGATCTCTAACCAACTTAATTTGTCCTCGTTGTGATTCCGAAGAAATTTTGAAAGGCATCTCAGAAACTTCTCTATCTGCCTTTTTCCAAGTGTGCTTCACTATTACAGTGGACATTATATTGAGTTTGTGTCGTCTTCATAGCTACAACATGTGAGAGATTTCATTCATTGCAAATCCTTTATAATAGTCTAACTTCTTCAATGGATTAGCAATATATTTTATTACTAATAAGCCTGCATTTCAAAGCTGCCAAAGGCTTCGCACAAATATCAGTCTGGTGTGGCTCCAAACTTTCTTTTCAGACTCACATTCAGGCTTTACAGAATACCAACTGCACAGACACATGCAATAAATTACTTAATGATTTCTAGTTTTTGTTCTTTTATTCCCCCACCATTTTTTTTCCCTTTTCTTTCCCTTGACATCAACCTCCAACTCAGGGATGAATTTTTACTTTACACCAGTACCTACTAACATTATAAGAGGTGTCCCATTTGCCTAGGGTGAGGTATATTGGGTCAGCAGGGTTCTGATGCTTTCCCTTACTGACATCAGACTACATTCAGTGTAACAAACCCAAGTTTAGCATCATTATTCCTGATTCTCAGCACAGAAAATGAGATTAAAATCTGCTCCAGTGAGTACACACTCAAAATAAGATACACAGCTGGTTTTTATCTGCATATGAAACAGCTTAGATTGCTATAGCCTCCTTATTTTCTCCTTCTGTACTATCAAAGAATGGCATTAGTAGATGATACAAAAGCCTCAGTGGGGTTATCAGGTGTAAAACATTTCAGATAATCCCCCAAGACTTTAAACAGATGATTTATTTGTGGCACATGTGGCGTGATATGGAAATTAAAAACCAGGGT